AAAAAAGAAGAAGAAGATGATGAAGATGAGAACTTTGAGATGAAATATTAACGTAAATATTTAACTACGATAACAATAAATGTCAAGGTTAGAGGATCCACTAATGGTATGTCAAACAAGTATAGTATAAACTCCTATTATTCAATTGGAAACCACATACAAAGGAGGTTCCAATCTAATTATAGATTGTTAACATGATTACATTAGTCATCTTATTCGATTAATGCTAATACTTGTAAAGCTCGTCAAGCATTCATGATTATAACTTATGTTAACAACAAATCAAGTTCCTTTTATAGCTCAGGTGTCGGTTATACCATACAGTATGGGTTATGAGAGTGCCAAGTATTTGTTATACCAAGTGTTATACAATATAAATCAAGATTAGTCATTTAACAAGCAAAGTATTAAAGGGTGAACAAGATAACAAATATAACAAGTAAAGTATTAAAGAGTGAACAAGATAACAAATACAAAACATGTTAGTATCAAACATTAAAGTCCATATTAAGTTTACACTATACTTATTCTTACACCATTAGTGTAACCTTTTCACCTTGACATAATAAACTTAGCTAGACATAATAAAAGAAAGAAAAATAAATAAACAAAATAAGAACATAAATAAGATTAAAGTTAACTAAGTAAATGAAAGGAAATGAAAGGCATAAACTTGATATTAATGAAAGCAAAGCATAAAAATTACAAAAAATACAAAGAGAGAAAGTAAGAGCATGATCTTGATCTGGAAACCAAGATGCCTAAATACATGGAAAATGCCTCCTTTTATAGGCCAAAATTGGAAACTATTGATTTGATGACTAATTGATGAGTGGGTGGCCAACTCTTGACTTGGTGACAATCCTTATCTTCTCTTGTCTACCCAAAACGTCATTGATTACATCAAAATTGGAGCCACTCGAAAACATAAAAGATGGAGGAAATTGTCTCAGCTTTCTTGTGTAAAACATTCAGCTCATTTGGACTTCTAGAACTCCAGATATGGCCAAAATACTGAACAGTGCTCGGGCTGGAGGATAGATTCGGGCTTCTTTGTTGTTGCTACAATTTGGTCTTGAAAATAGCCTTTTTAGATCTTGGGCTCCATATGAAAGTTGTAGGCCTATGTCTTACCTTTCCATCCATATAAAGTAGACCTAAATATGAGATCTATAGCTCTAGATATGACCCAATTACCAAACAGTGTTCCGGTTTGGATTGCACAGACATCTCTTTTCTAATTTTAGTCATCTCTTTGCCCTTGCAATTTAAGTTCTTAAAGTAATCAATTAATCCTTTCATTTATGTGATAGGCCTGCATTTAAAATGAACATTTACCATAAATTAAAGGTATCTTATATTATTAGATATATTATTATAAAACATGCTTTAGTTAAGGAGTTATTGATACTTCAAGTGCAAAATGATGATATAAAATCTTGATAAAAATGCACTTTTAAGTACTAATTAACAAGCTCATCCTAAATGCCATCCTCGCCTTCACTTTTACCACTATTACCCCCCTTCCCTCTGCACCGTCTCCTCTCTAAGTAAGTATTCCATCTTCTCCCTTGCTTTTAGATCCAACTACTTCCATGAAATTACATGTTCTTACTATCTCTGAATCTGCTGCGGTGCATGTTCATAGCATGACTACTAGGTCTATGAATGAAATTTATAAACCCATAAAAACCTTTCTTGTTACCAAACATCCCCTTCCATCTTCTTTGGAACCCTCGAGTGTCACAGCTGCACTTACTAATTTCAAATGGCGTAAGGCCATGTCCTCTGAATTAACTACTTTAATGCATCATAATACTTGGCAATTGGTACCCCCTCCTTCTGATTGTAATATTGTGGGCTAGAAATGGGTGTTTCAGGTGAAAAGGCATGCTAATGGGTCTGTTGATTAGTTTAAAGCCAAACTTGAGGCCAAAGGGTTCAATCAGCGACCCGGACTAGATTATAAAGAAACATTTAGCCCTATTGTTAAGCCGGTCACTATACGCACTATCTTGGCTATTGCTGTGATGCAGGGTTGGTCCTTAAGGCAATTGGACGTTAATAATGCATTTCTTTATAGGCATCTCATCGAAATAGTATATATGAAGCAACCCCCTGGCTTCAGAAATCCTGACCATCTTGATTATGTTTGTTGCCTAACCAAGGCCATTCATGGTCTAAAGGAGGCACCACGTGCTTGGTTCACTGCTCTTAAGCATGCATTGATCGAGTTTGGCTTCCTTAATTCCAAATCAAATTCATCTCCTTTTGTTTCATAATGGCTCCACTCTTGCTTATTGCCTAGTGTATGTTGACGACTTAATTATCACAGACAATAATTCAGTTTTTGTTACAAGTATTATTGATTATCTTAGCCAAAAATTTTCTATCAAAGACTTGGGGTTACTGCATTTTTTTTTTTGGTGTTGAGGTTATTCCTACTACAGCTAGCTTGTTTTTAACTCAACACAAGTATATTCGAGACTTACTTGCCAAGACCAATATGGCTGGTGCTAGAGATGTCACCATGCCTCTCTCAACATCGATCCCTTTACAATTGGATGATGGTTCTTCCTCTATTGACTCCATAGAATTTTGTCAAGTTATTAGTGCCTTACAATATTTGTCTCTTATAAAACCTGATATTAGTTTTGCTGTCAATAAACTCTCCCAATTCATGCATCATCCCACGTAGATTCATTGGACAACAACAAAAAGATTGTTGCGATATTTGAAGAACACAATCTTCCATGGAGTTACTATTAGAAAACATCTAGCAGCATGTTAACTTGTTTCTCGGATGCTGATTCGACTGGTAGTTTGGATGACAGGAAATCTACTTCTGCTTATCTATTATTCCTTGGAACTACACCAATTTCCTGGAGTTCTAAGAAGCAGCGTGCCATTGCAAGATCATCAACTAAAGTTGAATATAGGGCCTTGGCAACGGCTGCTGCTGAGAGTGTGTGGCTGCTATCACAAAGGAGGTTCCAATCAGATTATATATTGTTAACATGATTACATTAGTCATCTTATTCAATTAATGCTAATACTTGTAAATCTCGTCAAGCATTCATGATTATAACTTATGTTAACAATAAATCAAGTTCCTTTCATAGCTCAGGTGTCGGTTATACCATACATTATGGGCTATGAAAGTGCCAAGCATTTGTTGTACCAAGTGTTATATAACATAAATCAAGATTAGTCATTTAACAAGCAAAGTATTAAAGAGTGAACAAGATAACAAATATAAAACATGTTAGTATCAAACATTAAAGTCCATATTAAGTTTACATTATACTTATTCTTACACCATTAGTGTAACCTTTTCACCTTGACATAATTAACTTAGCTAGACATAATGAAAGAAAGCAAAATAGATAAACAAAATAAGAACATAAAAGTTAACTAAGTAAAGGAAAGGAAATGAAAGGCATAAACTTAATATTAATGAAAACAAAGCATAAAAAATACAAAGAGAGAAAGGAAGAGCATGATCTTGATCTGGAAATCAAGATGCCTAAATGCATGGCAAATGCCTCCTTTTATAGGCCAAAAATGGGAACTATTGATTTGATGACTAATTGATAAGTGGGTGACCAACTTTTGACTTGGTGACAATCCTTATCTTCTCTTGTCTGCCCAAAACGTCATTGATAACGTCAAAACTGGAGCCAGTTGCAAACATGAAAGTTGTAGGCAATTGTCTCAGCTTTCTTGTGTAAAAACTTCAGCTCATTTGGACTTCTAGAACTCCAGATATGGCCAAAATACCGAACAGTGCTCGGGCTGGAAGACAGATTCGGGCTTCTTTGTTGTTGCTACAATTTGGACTTGATAATGGCCTTTTTAGATCTTGGGCTCCATATGAAAGTTGTAGGCCTATGTCTTACCTTTCTATCCATATAAATTGGACCTAAATCTGAGATATATAGCTCCAGATATGACCCATTTACCGAACAGTGTTCCGGTTTGGATTGCACCGACATCTCTTTTCTAAGTTTGGCCATCTCTTTATCCTTGCAATTTAAGTTCTTCAAGTCATCAATCAATCCTTTCATTTATGTGATAGGCCTGCATTTAAAATGAACATTTACCACAAATTAAAGTTATCTTATATTATTAGATATATTATTATAAAATATATTTTAGTTAAGGAGTTATTGATACTTCAAGTGCAAAATGATGATATAAAACCATGATAAAAATGCACTTTTAAGTACTAATCACTATCCCTACTTTAGGAATTGAAGTTTTGCCTATCACAACCACCACTACTCTTATGTGATAATTTAGGTGCCACTCAACTAAGTTTTAATCCTGTTCAGCACTTCAAGATGAAACATATATAGATTGATATTCACTTTGTGCGAGATTTGGTTGCGAAAAATATTCTCAATGTTCAACATGTCCACATAACTAATCAGCTAGCAAATCTGCTCACCAAACCTCTCTCCAGACAAAGAACTGATTTCTTGTGTGACAAGATCAGCCTATCCGATGGTAGCCCGTTCTTGTGGGGGCGTATCAAAGAATCTGATGAAATCAAATCACAACAAATTCAAACGCAGCTGTTACCATGAGTTATGCCAGATTTTGTGCTCTTCATAATTATAGGATCCATTTGAAATATTGTTATTAATTCTGATTGTAAATATCCTTCCGTTACACACATTTGAATTCAAAAGTCAAGCTCTCAATATTGTATAAATGCTATAACAAATGAATAGAAAGTGTGCGTTGCATTACATAATACTGCAGTATAAGTTTATATATATAATAGCCAAGTTTGTTCAATAGAACAAAAGATTTCTCCCAGCTGCATTATATATCTTCTTCATAAGTTTTTCTGCTTTTAAGAACCAGTGGCCTTAAAATGTGAACTGTAATCGTGTATACCTCTCTAAGACATGCTTATACTATTTTTTCTTTTTTTTTCCTCTAATATTTATGTTGTGCTTCAATTTCTAAGACTTTTGGAGTTATTAATGTAATTTTATTTGCTACTTGTTGTGGAAATGTGATTATCTGTTACATACTAAGATAAGGTGTTGAATATTACAACATGATAGGCACAAGATTCACTATAACATTTCATGGACGATTATTTTCCGTTAGTGTAAGATTACCATTCTATTGGTAAAAGTTTCACTACACGAAAATCAACGAAAACTAATGGAATTATCAACGAAAATAATTCCGTCTCTACTTCTATTAGTATATACCAACAGACAATTTTTGTTGGCGATACAGTCTATATACACTGATGGACGTAGTTTTTTTGAAAAGTTGGAAAGGTGTGATCACGTGATTTTTTTAGATGATTTTACCGACTAAAGAACCGAGGGATTCAAACCTGGATCGCTGAACAATTACGTGGCATAGTCATCGGCGCACTCACTAATAGGTATATCAACGGAAACATTCTGTCGGTGATTCCATTAGTAAAAGCCAATATATACCCACTTTGTCGACACTCTCTTTCTCTATTTCTCCTTCTTTTTCCCCTTTTTTTTTCCCATCCAAACTCTCCCCTCCCAAACTGTAGCCAAACACCCATCCCAACTCTCCCCCTCTTCTCAACATAATCACTCAAGTTTTTTATACTTTTGTACGTGATTACAACATCCGTTCTCTGAGAAATTTATTATGGATTTTATCATTTTTTGTAAATAAATCTATCATTTTTAGTTTTAACATTTAAATGTCAATTTTATTATTTTTGATTTTTTTAGTATACGTATATTTTTATTAACGTATTTACTTGTTTGAATGTTATTTGTCAAAAAAACTTGTAGTATGAATGTATAATTTTGTAATTATTATAGTTTGTTTTAAAGTTTGTTAAATTGTATTTTTTTTTATGTAAATTGTTGAAACTTTGTTTGAATTACACCGAATTAGATATGTTGTGATGAAATAAATAATAGCTTGTTTAACGGGTCCATTTTAATTTTTATTAATTCTATTGTGAAATTGTGATTTCCATAAATTTATATATGTATAAATTTGTATGAACATTGATAATTGATAATGAATATTTAACATAAGGGTTTTTTTAGTTTGTTGGATAATGTCAAGGCAAACCAATATTTTTACAAATTTATTTACATAACATAGTTAATTAATACATGTTGTTGTCATAATTTTATAAAGTTTTGATAGAAGTCACGAATGATTGTTCATGGATGTATCGGGCTGACCACAAAGATTGCAGAGGATTGATTATTGTAATGGGGTTCAAGGTTTTATTAATTGCATAACATCTATCCCAAAGAATTTTACTGATGGTGGTATTAGGTGTTTATGCAGGAAGTGTAAAAATATTGTATCAAGATGTTGTAACGATACATTTTCTAACTAAAGGGTTTATGAAGAATTACCTGTATTGGTATGTACACGGAGATTTATTTGTTCTTAATGAGAGCATGGTAAAAAAGGTGCTTGAGTCAACTTCTAGTGCTAACAAGTTGCATGAAGTTGGAAATGACAACAGTAATCCTTACAGAAATATGGTTATGGATGCAATGACAATGAGTGAAGGTAATGTTAGTGAATGTCCAATCGTAGAATAAGAATCTAATACAGATGCAATAGGATTTTTTTGATCTGTTGAAAGATTATAATGAATCTTATGGGATAGTTGTACGAACCATAATAAATTATCGGTTATAGCATAGGTGTTCACTATCAAGTCGGATCACAGGTTGAGTGAGGCCAGTTATGACAAGATTATCAAATGGGCGAGAAGCATTTTATCTGAAGGGAACAAGCTAAAAGAGAACTTCTATTTTGCCAAGTCTATGATGAAACCCCTTAGTTTAGGATACTAGAAAATTGACATGTGCCCTAACTTCTGCATGTTATAGTACCTTGAAAATGCTGAGCTGACCAAGTGCATGACACATGGTTATTTTCGTTACAAACTTAGAACAGGTAGAGGAAAGACTCTTATGGAATATAAAAAACTTAAATACTTCCCCATCACAACTAGACTATAAAGATTATTCATATCACCAAGGACTATTGAGCACATGACATGACACTAATCATATCATATGGTTGATGGAGTGATGGTGCATCCTTTTGATGGCGAAGCATTGAAACACTTTAATAGTGTGTATTCACACTTTTTAGTTCAATCAAGAAACATGTGTCTTGAGTTGTGTACAGACAGATTCAACTTATTCGGGTCATTTGTTGCTCCTTATTCTTGTTGGCCTGTCATACTAATGGTTTATAACTTTTCACTAGGGATATATATGAGGCCAAAGTTCATATTTTTATCTATGGTTATACCAGGCTCGAGCAGTCCAGGATGGAATATTGATGTTTGTTTTTGACTGTTGATTGATGAGTTGACATAACTGTGGTTCTTAGGAGCTTTGACTTATGATATCTCAAGGAAACAAAATTTTGTTATGATAGCGGCTTTGATGTGGACTATCAATGATTTCTCAGCTTATGGAATGGTTTTTTAGTTGGAGCATGATTAGTGCTTAAAAGTGCATTTTTATCAAAGTTATATATCATCATTTTGTACTTGAAGTATCTATAACTCCTTAACTAAAGCATGTTTAATAGCATCCAGCAAAGGTATATTGATCCCTATCTGTTTGAAAGTTTCAAAGATTTCAGAGTCGTGATTGACTTTTTTTTTTTGTTATAGCATGAGGAAATGGAAGTGCTGGCGCGGAATCAATCTTTTCTTTGCAATTTTCAGATTCAACCCCTTCCTTATCCTTAGAGATTGACTGATCATCTTTCTCATAAGGTTCAAGAGCGAGTTTTTCAATAACCTTACCACTGCGCAGAGTAGTGACTGATTTGATTTGATCCAGACGGTGGCTTACAGAACTACTTGCATTAGCATTGTATTGCCCCTTGAGATTTTATTGTGGTTAAGATGGAAACTTACCTTTCTCTTGGAAACTGAGAGCAGATGTCAATTTTGCTAGAGTATCTTTAAAATCTATTATGTTTTGAGCAAGTTGGGTATTAATTGTCTCTTGCTTTTCAATGAATGCACGCAATGTTTCCTCAAGATTTCTTCTAGAAGGTGGAGCATAAGGAGGTGCATATCTATGAGAATTTTCAAAATTATGGTGTGCATGAAATTATGGTTATGAAGTTTGTGCATTGTCATTATCACTCTTCCAATTGAAATTTAGGCGATTTCTCCAACCAGGGTTGTATGTTTGCGAGTATGGGTTATGGTTGGGCCTTTGAAAACTGTTTAAAGCATGAGATTTTTCATGGAGGCATTCCTTAAAAGAAGGCAAGGTTGGTGACACGACTAAAAGATTGATGTCTTCTCCCAAGTGTAGGAGTGTCAAAGTAATAAATAACTCGGTAAGACCACGGTCGAACCACAGGGAGGTTAATTGTACAAATTATAAATAACAATAATACAACAACAATAACCATAACAACAACAACAATAATAATAGTAATAACAACAATAATAATAATAATAATAATAGTACTAATAATAGTAGTAGTAGTAATAATAATAATAATAATAATAATAATAATAATAATAAAGAAAAAGAAGAAGAAGAAGAAGATGAGAACTTGGAGAGAAGAAGAAGATGATGATGAGAACTTGGAGATGAAATATTAATGTAAGGATTAAACGATGATAATAACAAATGTCAAGGGATTAAACAATGATAATAACAAATGTCAAGGTTAGAGGTTCCACTAATGGTATGTCAAACAAGTATAATATAAACTCTTATTATTTAATTGGAAACCACACACAAAGAAGGTTCCAATCAGATTATAGATTGTTAACATGATTACATTAGTCATCTTATTCGATTAATGCTAATACTTGTAAATCTCGTCAAGCATTCATGATTATAACTTATGTTAACAACAAATCAAGTTCCTTTCATAGCTCAGGTGTCGGTTATACCATACAGTATGGGCTATGAAAGTGCCAAGCATTTGTTGTACCAATTTTTATACAACATAAATCAAGATTAGTCATTTAACAAGCAAAGTATTAAAGAGTGAACAAGATAACAAATACAAAACATGTTAGTATCAAACAGTAAAGTCCATATTAAGTTTACACTGTACTTATTCTTACACCATTAGTGTAACCTTTTCACCTTGACATAATAAACTTAGCTAGACATAATGAAAGAAAGAAAAATAAATAAACAAAATAAAAACATAAATAAGATAAAAGTTAACTAACAAAATGAAAGGAAATGAAAGCCATAAACTTGATATTAATGAAAGCAAAGCATAAGCAATACAAAAAAATACAAAGAGAGAAAGGAAGAGCATGATCTTGATCTGGAAACCAAGATGCCTAAATGCATGGCAAATGCCTCCTTTTATAGGCCAAAATTGGAAACTATTGATTTGATGACTAATTGATGAGTGGGTGGCCAACTCTTGACTTGGTGACAATCCTTATCTTCTCTTGTCTGCCCAAAACGTCATTGATAACGTCAAACTTGGAGCCACTTGAAAACATGAAAGTTGTAGGAAATTGTCTCATCATTCTTGTGTAAACAATTCAGCTCATTTGGACTTCTAGAACTCTAGATATGGCCAAAATACTGAACAGTGCTCGGGCTGGAGGACAGATTCGGGCTTCTTTGTTGTTTCTACAATTTGGACTTGAAAATGGCCTTTTTAGATCTTAGGCTCCATATGAAAGTTGTAGGCCTATGTCTTACCTTTCCATCCATATAAAGTAGACCTAAATCTGAGATCTATAGCTCTAGATATGATCCAACTACCGAATAGTGTTCTGGTTTGGATTGCACCGACATCTCTTTTCTAATTTTGGTCATCTTTTTGCCCTTGCAATTTAAGTTCTTA